ATCCGCGAAGACAAAAGTGCTACCCGGTTCCACCGGTAAATATCGGCTCGATGCAGAACTTCTGACGTCTGTTTCCAATTAGTGTTTCAATTTACTTTTGTAACTCGACTGCTCTTTACATAAATGAAAATTAAATGAAAAGGAAGAAACCAGTGTCCTTATGCGTTAACCCTCTGTAGGCCCATGTAACTTTGAAGTCACATATTAATATAGTGGCATTTTGATTTATTTCATTCTGCAAAGTGGTGAATAAAATTAAGTAATCAGTTGACTTAAACTTTCATACTCAGGCGTGAAGGTTTAACGTCATTGTAACTTGAAAGTTATAAAATATATTCCTTTAATAAATATCCACATATGAACACAAATTATCAATGTATTCAATACTTTGAATAATTTCATCAAAGGAATATATTTTATAGCTTTATATAAATATATTTTGTGCATAGATTTTGTTATAATCATGGAGAAAAATTCAGGCCATAGAGGGTTAATTTCAACAGAAATTTCTTTCTCAATCATGCACAAAAGTCAAGTTTTCTGCATTAACCCTAATCGTACCACGTTTCATGGTGACTCTCACTTATGAGAATAAAAGGATTAAAATGTTATTGTGTTTGTTTATAGGGACATTTTAAAAGCTCAAAATACTTTTGGAAGCAATGTGAGATAATGAAAAAATTTAAGTAGAAAGTTCAAATGTGACTCAAAGTCACAATGTGGTCTGATTAGGGTTGAGCTAATAAAATCGCTTTCTGCTCAGCTGGTTGCAATCTATTTTACCATATCTCGGGAACGACGATCCTGTGACCTCACTGCGTGGACGGGACGCTCGTTCTTCGTTGGTTTCTTGCCCCGTGAATCTATTACCTCCAATGTTATGCGTTTCCACAGACTAGCCGGAAACGAGCGGACGTTTATTTCCTTGAACGGATTTGAATACGTTCCTACATATTAAAGCTGTATTAGATTCGGTCGCGGTTAACGCTAATAGAATGCGGTGACCTTTGGATAAAAAGTTTACCAATATTTCGTTGTGTAACACTGGCTATACAGTCGCGAGCGTTTTACACTGAAACTACCGATTAACACGTTCGTTACCAGCGTTTATTTTAATAAGGATCTCTTTAATTTATTTTATTCAATCCGATAAATCTAAAGAAAATGAAAGAATGAAACTGGAAGGAGTTATGGAGTTGCTAAATATAATTCCGTAGCTTTTAACTTTAAATAACAAATCTGTAATTAATTTCATTCTTTATGTAAAATATAAAATTACGCTGCTAGCTCTCTTCTTCTCTTCTCTTATGATTCCTTGTGTTACGTTGACTGCCAGAATTGCTAGCGTTTTGATTAGTACTTATTCTTTAATAACAAAGGCAGACATTGAAAATAATCATTAACGATTTAGTAGCACAATAGTCATATTATGATCTAGCTACTTGTTACTAAATATTCTTATTTAAAATCGAGCTTTTTATCGTAATTGTTCCTCAGTAATCTGGAAGCTGCGGTCATCGGTGACCACCGTGGCAGTCAACGTGTTAACGATGATTCGTACGCGTTCAAGTCGAAATCTTACCGTCCGAGGAACAACCGAGAAGACAATGCGAGTCCAGGAACGAGACGAATGTATCTCGGAGCGTATCTACAGGCGTTGACTTCTTTCGAAACAAGTAGGCCGCTTCTAGCACGCTGTCAAAACCGAATAGTCCGGCCGAGCATCGATTATCGATTCGAAATCTTCTGGTTTTATTCAACTGTGCTCGAGTACCTCCACTTCCCGTCCACCAGCGTTTCGTTAGCGTCTGGGAAAGTCTCTTCACTGATGCGACTGTAAAAGATCAGCAGTAGTTAGCTTGGAACGTTGCATTGACATTCTTATACATTCTTATAAATTAACCCTTTGCACTCCAGAGGCGCCTCTAAGTCACCAAATGATTTGACACAGCGAAACTGTAAACTTTGATATTTAATATTAAACTTTGTGTAATGCATCAATGTACGAAATATTGAAAAAAATAGTTCTCTTTCTTGATACATGTGAGATTTCTTAATTCAATCTAAGAAAATGTAATCTGTCATTAGAAAATATTGAATATTTCCGGTGAAAAACTTCTGGAGTGCAAAGGGTTAACACTAGAACTACCAGAGAGGTCAACCTATTTCTGATTTCTTTTTACAATTATTGATAACGAATAATCCTCTGAGAAATTATAGAAACCGATTTAGCAATAGGTAAACTGAATTGTAAATCAATAGAAGTTTCAATAGCACTGTTGGAGTTTCCACAGAGAAATTGGAGAAGTCAATAAGACTGCTCGGTAGTTCCAGCGTTAAGATTACTCGACGTGGAAGCAGTGAATATTAGGACGATCTTATCGGAACAGAAAATCTTCTGCAGCTCTTCATTCTTTGTTCCCGGAACGTCTAATACGTGCTCCCCACTCCGGTGTGAGAAGTTTCAACTGGAGATTTAAATACCTTCGAAACTGTTAAATAGTGTAGTGGCCGGCGCAATGGTCTCGGGACGACCACGATCGGACGGCGGGACTGTACTAGTGGCTAACGACAATTAAAAAACGGTGATTCGATGATTGAGTGGGTCCCTTGCTACAGTGTCGTCGGCGTGCGCAGTTCTCCGGGGTCTTTTATCTTCGGATAAGTGATCTTTTATCTTCGAAGAAAGAATCGGAGGAAGAATATCGTCACGATATCGAATCAAATATTTCTCTGGAGCTTTCAAAGTGAATTACTCTTACCGCCGAGTGAAACTCAGAAGAGAATCTAAAATAGTTAACACGTTAAGCGCCATGAAAATCTTAAGCGTTTTCCTGTAGAGTTCTTTTGCAGCAAAATAAAGCAGGAATTATTAATTACTTAGCGTTACAATATTTGCATTAAATTATCAACCTATCTACATTAAACATTTCATTTCACATCGTTTATCTTGTATGTTATTGTTATCAAGTCAGAAGCGTCAGTCGTGACACGGCTTAACGTGTTAAAAGATTAACATTAGATTTACTGTTTGTTGCTTACTGTTTGTTCTATTCTTAGACAAATTATCCGTTTTAGATCTTAGAAATTAGAGATTTAATAGTACAATTGGAATACCTGTTCGCATAACTTTGTTAATAAGAATCAAGCTAAAGATTTATTAATGCTTATAGAATTCAATGCGAGTGACAACGACTTCTAGTGTTAACAAGGAACAACGCGGAGAATAATTGTTATCTGAATGCTCGTAGGAGTCAAAGTTTGAAATACCAACGTTAAAAATAACAGCAGCGGTCGATGGTGAGGAACAGGGCGCGATATTGTTTGTCAATTTCCCCGGGATGTTGTCCGGTAACGTCCGTTAATCGTGCATGGTAATTATATGTTAATCGCGACGCCACTGTAATCTGTGGAAAATAAGAAGCCGGTGAATCACGAAGCCGAAGGAATTCTCCGTGGAGGAAAGTGGAAACCTGCAGCGCGGAGGGGTACGCAGCTTCTAGATAACGGCATAGTAAACGGTATTCGATCTTCTTCACGTGTAACGCCGGCCTGCAATCAGCGTACAACTTTAGCTGTGATTACCAGTGTACCGCAGAATCTGTACGATAGGGGATCTCTTACCGGCGGTAGGTGTTTCTCGTGCACGACAGTGGACGCTAAGTAGTTTCGGACCAGCGATTTTTTAATGATTACCATTCACTGACGCTCCGGTAGATCCGGTCGCTGCGTCACCAGGCGATTCGGTTCGGGCTGCTCGTTGGAAATAGGAAATATTGTTGACGGAGATTTATGGAAAGAAGTGTTCATTGTAATTAGTTGTAACAGATTATTGATAGAGATTCATATAAAGACATGTTCGCTGTAATTAATTGCAATAAAAGATTATCGATAAAAATTCATATAAAGAAAGATTCATTATAATTAATTGCAATAAAAGATTATTGATAGAAATTCATAGAAATATTCATTGTAATTAACCCTCTCTAGGCCCACGTGACTTCGAAGACATACATCAGTACATTGGCATCTGATTTATTTCAGTTTGCAGTTGATTTATTAATCTCAGTCGATTGAATCAGTTTCCTTCAACTTTTACACTCTCAGACGTGAAAGTGTCACGTCATCATTCAATTAAGATTCTGTTATAATCACGAATAAAAATTCGGCTCACAGAGGGTTAACGGTAATAAAAGATAATCGATAGTAATTCACGCGAATCAATGACTGACAACCATACCAACTTGGTTAGTTCACTCAGAACGCCGGGCAGACCGAAGAATAAAATATTCCCGAGCGATCGGCTCGAAAGATTTTCCATTAGAGTCACGTTTCCCGTACTGAAACGAGAAACGATTAGTCTGCAACAGGCATCGAATTCGACGCGTGCTAATACGCGTGATCGTTGTGCGGCAACCCTTAAAAACCGTCGCGGCGCCGGGCCGTCGCCAATTACCGCGCCGGATCGGTAAAGTCGCAGGGGATTTCCCGCGCATTATCAGCCCGTCGTAAAAAGTGAAAGTAACGCACACATGGTAGAGGGCAATGATATTTTCGAAAATCGATAGTGACAGTAACGAGCGTACCGTGGTGAGGATGTAACCGATTCCGATACGATTTACAGTTCGGCCAGCCGGCGGACCGAGAGGTGTGAAAGATGAACGTCGCGCGGAGCGTGTTGAAAGCTGGCAAACGGATCAATCTCGACGGCGTTACCCTGCCGAGCCAACGAGCGCCCGGTTGCGGTTACGCAGGGGCGACGAGAATCGACGATCTGTCGAACATCGCGAAGACAGCAGATGGCGCTGCGCAATCGAAGATCGAAGCGATCGAGAAATCGCCGGAGAGGAACTACGGCGTTGCGAGCACCCCCGCCGCCGGAAACAGGCTGCAGGGGCCGCCGGAACCGCGGGGACTTCCTTTGTTCGGAACGCTGTTCTCATTTCTGCTCGCCGGCGGCGCGAAAAGGCAGCACGAATATGTGGACAGGAGGCACGGGGAACTGGGCCCGGTGTACAGGGAACAGCTGGGACCCGTTTCGGCGGTGTTCGTCAATTCGCCGACCGAGTTCCGCAGGATCTTCCGGCTGGAGGGACCGGCGCCCAGGCACTTCATACCGGAAGCGTGGACGCTGTACAACGATATACGGAAGTGTCGCCGGGGATTACTGTTCATGTAAATTTCTCAATGATACACGCTATTTAACCCTTTGCAGTCCGAAGTTTTTCAATAGAAATATTTCGACGTTTTCTGATGAGGTGAAGACGATATTTTGTAAAACCAATAGACGAGAAATTCACGTGAATTGACGGACAAAGCTTACGTCGATATTTCTCAGATTGATGCATTATATGAAGTGTAATATTAAATATCAAATATCAAATCAAGTATTAAATATTAAATATTAAATATTAAATATCAAACTTTATAGCTTCACAGGAAATCAAATGCTGACTGAGAGTCATCTTTCGAGTGCAAAGGGTTAATAATGAAATGACCCATTCCTAAATTCTCCTTTTGCCATTATTGAAAGAAATAGATGCTTCTCTAAATTTTTCAGGAAATTGTTTTAATACTATCTAAGCTTTGAATGATCTAAGTCGATAGATGCACTCTTAGGGTTTGTATAGAAAAATTTGGAAAGTTCACCGTTTAGTAGTTTTAGCGTTGATTGTCATTTTGAACGGATTGTTAATACAATCAAATTGCTAATTTTTGGAAGAAAATATTTTTAAGGGACATGTGATTAAGAATGTTTATGGTATGTGTTGCAAAGCACCGTGAACATAGAGAAACAATGTCTGAATGTATGAAAATTATCAGAAATTTGAATATAACTTAATATTTTATTAAAAAGATCAATAGTAGATTGTGAGTGAAATTTCCGTGGCATAAAAAGTGTTAAGGAAAGTGTTAAGGAAAGTGTAATTGTAAATAGTAAGTTGTTTATTGATGTAGCTTCTGTTATTTTCGCTCACAATTAACGAGTAAACGCCATTTAATTGTCAATGTTATAATTAACGACATAAAGGAGCAAAGGTAACAATTATATAATAATAATAAAAGTAACCAATATACATTGTACGTTTAAAAAGGGATGGAGAGGAATGGATGCACTTCCGTAAAATATTGAATAAAGTGATGCTAGTACCAGATCCATCGAATTTAATGACTGGTCCCTGCGAGAAGGCGGCCAAGGAGCTGGTCAGTAAATGGCAGAAACAAGTGAGAACCGATTCTGTGATAACGAACTTGCAACTTCAACTTTATCAATGGTCCATCGAGGGTAAATACAGCATACATTTATTTCGTGTATAAACATCATGGGACAATACTATAAAATATTTCATTCAATTTTCTAGCAATGATGGCCACGTTAATGGGCACCTCTTGGCACACTTACAAACCCGAGTTGTCTGAAAACTTCGAAGAACTGGCGACGATGCTGCAGAAAATATTCGAATACTCCGCTAGACTGGCCATAATCCCAGCCAAAGTGGCAATGAACTTGCGACTTCCGGTCTGGATGCGATTCGTTGCATGCGTGGACACCGCGTTCGAAATCGTTCGAAACCTGGTGCTACGAATGATTCAACTAAGCGGCGATGGGCTGCTGAAGAAGATGCTGGACGAGGGGATTCGAGAGGAGGACGCTATCTGCGTTGTCACTGACTTTATTCTAGCAGCTGGCGATACAGTAGATATACTTTCAAATATCTATATATATTATAGATATTATATATATATATATAAATACATTACAAAATAGAGCATTTCGAATTTGAATTGTAGACAGCGACCACCTTGCAATGGATTCTGTTGTTAATGAGCAATCATCCCGAGAGGCAGGAAGCTCTGTACGAGCACTTGAGAGATCTTCCGCGAAAAGAACTGCACCGGGATCCACAGCTGAAAAGCGTAATCAAGGAGACTCTTAGGTTATACCCTACCGCGCCGTTCATCTCACGGTATTTACCGGAAGACAACGTGATTGGCAATTACTTCGTGTCGAAAGGGGTAAACGACGTTATTGCATTATTATGATAATCATGGTGCGAGATGAGAAGAAAATAAATTCGAACGTTCGCGACCTGTTCGTCCAGGAACTATTGGTGATGTCGATCTATTCGAGCGGCCGCGACAGCAGGAATTTCTCACGGCCGAACGAGTTCCTGCCGGAAAGATGGATCAGAACGGACGAGGGCACTTACCGCAGTCTACTGAACCCTCATGCGAGCCTGCCGTTCGCTTTCGGCGCGAGAAGCTGCATCGGCCGGAAACTGGCGGAAATACAAATGTCGCTCGGTTTGGCGGAGGTATCTGAGAATTAGTACCAATGCATACACACATACACACACACATACACACACACATACAGAGAGAGATTATAAATATATTTTTATTAAATTGCGTGTTTCGTAAAATTCTGTAAGATGAACAGCTGCGTATTCTACACTTTCTAGGTAAAATAAAAAATAAGTGATCCACTAGGATATTTAGAGTTACAACGCTTAACGTGCTAGTATGATACAGCTTAAAATAGATGAGACGCGAAGCGTTAATACATATTTACGAATGTTTCAGCTGGTGAGGTCGTTTAAGATAGACTGTGTAAACAAGGATCGAGTGCGAATGATTTTACATTTAATTTCTATCCCGTCGGAGTCGATGCGGTTGAGACTGACACGGAGAGAGTGAAGCAAACTAAGATAAGGTACAACGGCAAGAAATCTCCGCCTGCTTCCTGTTACAATCTTTTAAATTCGAACCCTTTACACGTATATACAGTAATTAGAATTTCAATATATATATATATATATATGATTTTAAGCGAATTATAGCTACATATGTATAAGAATTCTTAATATACATCAATTCCACGTCTTAAAATATATTCACAGTAAGTATAATGATGCGACGAATAAAAGATTCCGTGATATAAAAACTTCACCGAGTGTCTCCATGCTTAAACGGTCGAGTACCCTACGATTTCGCGACTATTAATATCACAATTAAGTTAAATGACTGTGTCGTTAACGTTGACATAGAACGCCGTTGATGATCTGCTTCACCTCGTCCAGGAATTCGTTGAAACTGCCGCTGGCGGAGAAGTCCTGGAACGCCTGTATTCTCTCGGAATGCGTCATCGAAGCGGTGAGGAAACTCTTCACGCAGCAGGACTTCAGCTCGTGGCACGCGTTGTTCTTCGCCCAGTTCCAAGCTCGACTGAAGTTCTTGTAATTCAACTTGGAAATCGAGCTTTCCGTCAGAACGTCCGACACGTCGGTCATGAGGAACTTGTCTGCTAGTAGCACAGCGTCCAATAGAGACTCGATGGTTCGGTTTTCGAAAGTGGCACCGGTCACGGCCAACAGCAGCGTGTTGAGGCCGTCTCTCGACGTGTTCCGCAGCTTCACGCGTTTCTTCCCCGATTCGGAAAAATTTCCCTCGAGCATGGCGGAGAAGGCGTCGGATTTCTGACACAGGGTGTGTCTGCAGGCGTCGACGGTGCTGCCGTCGTCCAGCTCGAACGTGACCGTCGCCGGTTTCGGATGGTTGTCGTACACCCTCGGGAAGTCCGTCGAAGCGGTGTCGGTGATCTGACACTTGTCTATTATCTCCGGCTGTATCTGCAACGTGTTCGCCAGCCGGCAAATCGACCAGACGGCGTTCTCGTGAAGGTTGTGCCGCTGGTCGGACAGCACGCGGAATATCAGCGGCAGGGCACCGTAATTGTTCAGCAGGGACCTGAGAATGTACCGCGATTTGATTAGAAACGGTATCGAGACCGCGATCACTAATTTGTGAGCTTCGTCCCCGCGCAGCAGGATGGACGTCAGTTCGCCGATCGCTCCGCCGGTTTCCGCTAGGGCACACAGCTGTCTCGTGTACTGCTCCGAACCGTACAGTGTTTGAGCTTCGAAGACGAAACCTTGCTTCAACAGCGTCATCAGATATGCCTCGTTTCTGTGGAGAGAAATCATGAGTGATGGACATGATAGATGCATGACTGTTTTACTTACCTTATGATTCGAGTCAGAATTCTTGAGGCTCTCGGGTTTTTGGCGTGTCTAATGTAAGCCGACAGTGGCTCGATCGTCGTGGAGTCGGCCAGTCGCTCGATTGGATCGTTCGAATGACTCAGACGACTTAATAACACTAACGTCCAAACATTCGCGTGCTCGCAGTGACTTGATCTGTTCCCTTTTTCTGAACTTTGACACTCTTCTACTTCTATAGTCACTGATTTGCAACTTTTTACTGATTCCACTTCTTCTTGAGGTTCTAGGAGAAGATGGATTATTTAAGTTAGGATTAATTGATAAACGATTTTATGGATGTTCTTTGGCAGTGGATAGTTTAACGAACCATCCTCGTTGTCCATAAATTCACTGTCACTGCAAACTGGACTGTAATTGTCCTCCGTGTTTTCGTCGTTTTCTATGGAATCGTAGAATGGCAATGGGGGTGTGCTAGGGGGCGAGGAAGAGACACTGGTTGCACTGCCCGGACTCCAATCGTCGCGATAATAATCTGAACTGAATCTGTGAAGTAAAGGTATAGCGTTTACTTCTATAATTCATGAAGATTAATTGTTAAATAATTTCATTGACGTACCGTCCTAAACTGGTCTTATTAAATTTGACTTCCGTTTGTCTGTTAGGCGGTGATTCGTTGCCTCTCTTCTTTGAAACGTTGTTCTCCTCGACAATCATAACTTCAGACACCATTTTGTTCAACCTGGTAATTAGAACGTCGAGCAAACCGTTCTTCACCATTATCACAATACTCGGATCATCGTAAACAAATTGTGCCAGCGCATGTAGCAGTATAGGATGATATCTCTCGTTTTCAGGATTTTGTAATAAAGACAGCATTAACTCTAGACCGGATCCAGTTCTAATTCTTGCGCGATTGACAGCCTCCCGACAAAACAGGCATAAACTGGCCAATATCTCTTTATACAATTCCGAATGATCCTTAATAAGAGTTATGAGACTTTCGATAGCACCAGAATTTCCCAAGACAGGCCGGCACTCTGCTATTTGGCAAAGATTGTACAGGCACTTAATGGCCATTTTATTTTTCATATTGCAACACTGCACAATGCATTTATAGCCCTGCAAATCTTTCTCTCCCCTCATTTGTTCCCCAACTCGAGGATCAAGCGTAACTAAAAATACGCACATAGCTTTCACACAAGTTTCTACTAGCTCTAAATATTTTGTGCCTGTTTGTGATTTTTCTACTGCCATTATTAATAAACCTGTGACTCTATGTATAACTCCAGTTTCTAAAATTTCTTCCCTACTACCTTCGTATATACTCCAAATATTTCTGTATAAGAAAAATAGAAATTAATACAACAGACAATATCATATTAACAAACTATTGCCAATAAGCAAACAAATAAATCTGTATACCTTATAGCTCTGACACTCATCAAATAAGTTTGCATATTCGCGTCTAATTGCAGAAGATCAACTACCGCTTGAATTGCACCAGCTTGGCATAATGATTTGGCATGCCAATCGCATTCTGACAAGTTTCCAATTAGTCTACATGCACGGCAGTGCAAAGTATTTCCTAGTTTTGTATATTTTATTATAGAGACTACATTATTCGCTATTTTAGATCCTTTCACCTAAAAAGAACATATTCAAAGTTAGTACGATGTAACTCCACGTTACTATAAAGGAGTAAAATTCAGATATACATTGTTTCAATTCTGCTTCATCGAAGCAATCTGTGAATCGAACAGTCTTAAGAAACATGAACACAAGTACCTTCTCTCTTGCATCTGAGTGTATACACGCATTCGCTAGAATACTCAAAGTCATATTCAATATATTCAAATTATGACAACGAAGTAAATTTACTAAAATGCCCAACCCTCCATCTTTAGCGAATTGCTTGTAGCACTTGGGTTCGTTTTTTAGCCGTACCAAGCATGACGAGATTCCACTTTTAGAGTCTGTTTTGACATGTTTCAATAACTCCTGAAGTATCGGTTGCTCTTGAAGCTCGTCCATAGTTGACATTTCTTTAGATAACTGTCAAAATTAATGAAAATTCGTTAATTTTTTGGAGAAAACATAACCTCTAAATTGCGCTGCCAACGGGATTGACAGCTACATCTGTACAGTAACTTACAAAAGTAAGTTGAGATGAAAATTACTTGAATTTATAATTTCCTGTAATCGACATACATCACATTGTTCACCGTACGATGTAACACAGGCGAATTGAACGTTTAAATTCAGTGTGTATTAATATATAATTAATTCATTATTTTATATAATTAATATTTCAAACATCCCGCCGCTCGTCTGTTAGTTCAAAGAGCGCACACTGCAGCGCCATCGTAAATTCGATAGAGTTATAGTAGATATGATATATAAAATTATTAAAGAACATAATTAAATGATTGTAGAGCATATTAACTCATCTACGGATTTGCTAAATACAATAACGTTAAAAGAGTGTTATTTTCATTGATAATAGTTTTATTCTCAAATGTATTCCTCCACGAAGTTACCAGTAATCCCATTACAAACGTTAAATTAATCGCAACGAACTATCCTGAGAATCTCTTTCTT